CTCGAATATTGCATTACATTCTTGTACATTCGGACCCTCCCCGGTGTATCTCGACAATCACAGATATGCTCTGGTGTAGGTTGAAAAGAGAGGAGTATATTTACACGCTGTCATTGCAAAAGGAAGTGTTCCACAAATAAATGCAGTTGTAAAAGCAAAGGCCTCTTGTGCAATTCAAAGTGTCATAATAGTTTAAGTTGTTGCAATAAATAAGATTTGAATCACGTAATTTAGTAAGTTTTTAACTTCTATTATTTTCCTTTCTCATTTTGAATGTACAGTGTGTTTTAAGTTCTTATGTTCTTAAGTTCTTATTTTAAGTCTCAAGTGCGTTTTTTCGCGACCGAATTACGGAGAAGAAAATATAATATTCTTATGTGTTCAACATTCACCATTAGTACATGGTGAATGTCGACATTTACCAGTGTAAGTCAGAAATAAGAATATTTGGAAAATATTTCGGACATACACCAAGCGACTATGTGAATGTTGACATTCACCGGTGAAAGTCGACATTCTCCAGATTTCGGTGTTTCACCATAACATATATATACTGATTTATTTAAATACAAATTGAAATTGGAAAAAAAATTTTCACCCTCAAACTGGCAAGTTTATATATTTATGCTGAGCTCAGCAAATAATTTCATGTGTATTTTCAGTCAACAACGCTTATTCAAAAATTGAAATTACCTGTGATTAGACACGAACAGAAAGAGGTGGCGTAATGAAAGTGATCAAATTTCTGACTGTAGCATTATTGATATAGTGCTGTAGCTACGAGTATAAAATGCTAAAGTAAGGTTAAATTATTACTTTCTTATAGCGAATAAATATAATAAAAACACGGCTATAATAACATTGCACCAACGTTTAACTGGATTAAAATATTATTTAAATTGAATATCGAATTAAAAACCATCATACCAACGATTTTTTAATCGTTGGTATGATCGTATTTTTTAATCGTTGGTATAATCGTTTTTAATTCTTTTGAATTAAAATATTACTTAACTTTAAAATAAGTAAATAAGAACGCTTCGTACACTAGAGCTAAAATGACAGCAATTAGAAGTTTAATGCCGGTGAAAAAGGAGAAATGTCTAATACTTTTTTTTATCGTTATAGCGGTTATTGACCACAATACCATATAAGGCCTTCTTCAGAATTGGCTCTTTTAATAATCTTCATCTGTGATCCACATTTCTCGCACTTCATTGAAGAAGCAATTAGCGAGGTTTCTCCAAAAATTTAAAATAAATTTCTTCTGACCCTTCTAACAATTTATAAATAAATATTTGATTAGGAAAGCCAGGTTGGCCAAAATAAGGTCTCAAAGGACAATTTTTTGATTCCAATACCAATAAGTCTTGGTAAATTACCAATAACAACATTAATCTTTGAAAAGGACATATCCGTTCGCTATGAAATAAATAATAAGGAATAATAAAATTCGAAGAAATGAATAATAAAATTTTAAAATGGCGCGGTAATGCACAAATATTCAGTAACCAGTCAGGGAGCTGATTTCAGTTCGTTAATGCACAAATATTCTGTAACCAATCAGGGAGCTGATTACATCAGGCATAAGAATTAAAATTATTTAAATAATCATAATAATAAAATCATTTTTTAAAAAAAATGCAAAATTAAATTGTAATTTTAATATTTGATAGCCATAAATAATGTTTAAAACATTAGATTAAATTTATAGATATTAAAACCAATTATTTTTAAAGCAAGGTGACATCATTGATTACATCATCTACAACATAAATTTATATAAAATATCATAAACAATAAAATTTTATTTCAAATAAAAATACAAAATTAAATTGATTTGCAATATTTAGAAGCCATAAATAATATTTAAAGCACGGAATTTATGCATAATAAAACGCGTTATTTTTTAAATAAAATGACAACAAAGTATCGGTTACCATAAATAACTTGTCCAGCAATGGGTTTACCATAAGTCGTATCGCACGCCCCAAAACAATCGCCAAAATCCGTGCAACCGTCTACCAAAGTAGCACCCAAACATTAAACTCTTTAATTAATTAAAATGCACATAAATTAATTTAAAATGCTATTTATATACGAGTACAAATGGCTAAAACAAGAGAAGAAGTCACATAAGCTGCTGAGGGGTTTTAAATAAAATGTTTTATGTCTGTTAAAATTTCAAATTTTGCTTTTTAAAAAAATGAATAAAACGAAAAAGTAATATTATTAATAATGATTATAAGCGTTTTAAAAAATATATTATAATTCATTCATGCATTAAAATTGTTTTGAACGTGTTTTAAGAAACAAAAATAGGTAAAGAAAAATTCTACTTGTATTTTATGATTTGTTTGCAATATTTCTTGCCAGATAAGGTTTTAAGCAAAAGCTTGTAATTTATGTTCATATTAATCAATTGAGCAGTACTAAGTTTTATATTATGTCTATATATATATGTATTGAAATTCAATAATAAAATTTCTAAGAAATTGGAAATTATTTAATGACCATTCAGACAGTTTACATTCTTTAAACTGCGTTTTCTCAGTTTGCAATTTTTCAATATATGCTTTTACTTAAAGTCCTAAAATTTGTTTAAATATGGACCAAATGATTTAATAATTTTATTACTTATATAAAATTATATACTAAATAGAATCAAGGATGGGTTTTGAAAAATAGTGAAAAGAAAAATTATTGGAAGTGAAAATGTCATTGAAATCATATTTTTTAAAGTTTTTATATAAAAATGTGCTTTTAATTTTTTTCTCAGAAACTAAGTCATTAATTGCAAAATCGATCCGTAAAGTTATTAAGTATACTATTATAAATACAATAAAAAATTTGTAGCAAAAGTATTTAAAATTGTGGAAGAAGAAAGAATTTTTAATTGTTGAATTCTTTTAATTAAAATTAAACAAAAATTAATAGCAAAAAATTGTTTTTTCAGCTTAAATCATTTTGTCTCATAAAACCACTTAATATTATTCGTAAAAAGTAAAAAGTAGAGTGTATACGAGCCAGTTTCCCTTAGAAAGTCCTCCACGAAGTCATCCCTCCCCTTAGGCAGATAGCCCTAGTGTGCTTTGCCATAATTAAATGCATCACATCACATCGTAAAAAGTAGATGAAAGTTCTTAAATAAAAACAAATCATTCAAAAGGTACAGAGTCCCTTAATAGTGTAAATTGGATTCCCCACGATAATCATAAATGTGTGTTTAATGGCTGGATGCAAGTTGAGTGCTAGCCAACATTACACCGAAAGAAAATAATCAAGCAATTTTGCCAGCATCATTTGTCGATCATTTTTTCAGCTGGATCCATTTCTAAATAACACCACAGTATACTAAAAGTATGCAAAGGCATGAGGAATGGTACGAAAAACGATCATCATTTAGTTGCTGGATATGATTCCCTGCTCATTCGAAATAAAATCTGACGCATGTTGCATGATTAACTAGGGCAAAATTTACCGTTAGGTTATGAAACTCTCTTACGCCTTGCTTCTTCTCAAAACGTCTAATCAGTTAATCACATTCTTTAGTTTAAACTCTTTTTCTGTTTTTAAAAATGCTCAATCAATTATTAATCTTTATTTAAAGGTAGTTGAGAAACAAACTTTCTTATGGTTTGTATGAAACACATTGTAACAGGGTAACAGAAATATATTGATACCATTAGTAATTTCTTCTTTTATATGCTTCTGTGACGTATGAATGCCATTAAAATCGAGCATGTCACATGCTAAAACTAAGCACTATTAGCTATCAATTATCGAAAACTTTGGCAGTTAGCAGTTCCGATAAATGCAGAATTGAATACGAATTTCTAACTACAGAAAAAGCGTTTTAGTGCTACATATATTCTCGTCTCGAAAAAATTTGCAATCAAAGACCTTGAGAATGGGATATTCTTGTAGTCTTTTTGCTCAAGCAGTACTTTTCTATGGTCATAATTATTTTAAATATAACTTGAAAGATTTAGCTCTAAAATGAGATATTATTCCAATATAAACTATTTTAGCTTTATATGGTACCGAATTGTATAAACATTCTTCAGAATTTCCACAAGTTTTTTCCTCGTTTCCTAAATAAAGAACTCACGTAAGAATTTCTAATAACTAAACATATTAGGATATTATCAATAAGTATTTATATTTATAAATATAAATATTTATATTTATTGATAATATCTTAATATGTTTAATTATGTAGGTTTTTTAATTAACGTAGGTTTTATTTAATTATGTAGGTTTGAGATTGTAGAGACATCAGGTTAATTGTAGAGACATAGGGATTAGGTTTTAATTATCCTAATATGTTTTAATCCTAATTTGTCTTTGAAATTTTACGAAACACATTTAAGACGTCTCAAACTCAGTTTACTTCAGATTATCTAAAGATCGACAATATTACGTAAATTTTCATCATTTTGTTGTAATTTCATCCTTAAGAAAATTTATGCTTTTTTAAAACACTTTAAAACTATTTTCTCCAGTTTTATAAAAAAATAATTAAAACAGATTATTTCATACAGAACAATAAAATTATTTTCCGCATAAAAATAATCTAGCAAAGCTACAAATAAATTACATCATACGAATTCTGAAAGTAGAAAAGAACGTTTTACCTAATCATGACGTCTTTCTCCAAAGCAGTATTTTTATTTTATGACTGCAAAAAAACTATTTGCTGTCTTCGATTTGAAAACGTTATTATTAGCAGTATGTTATTATAAGCAATAATGAAATACTGTTTAAAGAAAGCAAGAAATGCTATATAAAACAACTATTTATGAAGTGCTTTAAAAGGTGATGGAAACCAGTGAATTCAAAGAAAGTATGTACTTATATGCTTAAAAATCTGAAAATGTAACTTCACATTCTATGCCTAATCATAAAATAAATTCTGAAATTAAAATTCCATTATTTTTGCTATAAAATGTATTACCTAATCATCAAAGAGCCTATTGAAGAAAAGACTCAAAACTTACGTGACAAAGAAATGCTTACAGAGCTTGAGGGAAGCATCCAAGCGACGAACTAAGTAGTATATCATAAAACGTTGATGACTCCTATACCTTCAATCGCCTGTTTGGTTTTTGCCTCACGAGAGCGAAACTTCTTCTTTTATATCAACAGCCGTCTGTTGTGTGAACATTGAATCATCATCATAAAACAGTAGCGCAATCACGCTTTCTGCTAAGATGGCTTTGAAATCTGAGGGTTTTTTTTAAATCATTTAAGAACTTATTTTATTAATCTCTGACGCTCCGAGCATCATTTCCTTATCATGCACCTGCCAAATACTCCTTTATGGACAAACAATTAGCGTTTTTCTCCGTCCCATTGCATAATTCTCTTGAAGTAGGCGTTTAAAAATGACTGCGAAAACCTTGCATTGGGCTAATAAGAGAATACACGACCCTAAATGAAAGATGTTACTCATTTAAATATATATTTATTTATAGTAAATTTTATCATTAAATCGGTGATGATGTTTAGCGTAGAAAATATATATTTAAATTATCATTAAATCTGTATTAACTTCGGCCATAGTTTTGACCTCATATTTTTCTTTCATGGAATATATAATTTGCACATTGATCATCCGTTCATTAGGTAAACTGTGAGCTGTCAGCTTTGTTAACCTCTAAACTAGTTATAAATGCACAAGTGATTATTCGAACAGCTTCTGTATCACTATAGGCATTAATTCAAACTTTGAGATTTAGTTAGGAACTCGGAAGAAGGCTTGAAAACGAAGTCCCTCAGCTAAAAAGGTATCAGCTCCCTTAACATAAATTTCGGTGACTTCGGTTGCTTTAAATATTTAGTTAATTTTGTGTGCCTGGCGTTTTCATATCACTTAGTATGTAACTATATAGCATCTGGAAGCAATGGAAGTAAAGTTATGAATCATAGATTTTCGACTTTAGAAAATCATATATTTAAGAATGGAAACGAATAATTAATTATAGACCGAAATCCATAGTAATAAATATTTTGTAAATGTTCTTCGAGCATCTCAGAGACTTTTAACAACAAAAATTCATCAGCAACCAGACAAAAATCACTCCAGAACTGAAAACATATCACTTAACATAAGCACAGTTATATCTCTTACTTAAAAGATGCATAGAAAATCTGTAAATTAATTTGTAAGCATTACTTTTCACATATAAATAAGGGCTAATGCAAACGAAAAGTGCATAATTGCACTGTTGTTATACTTAGTGTTGTGGAATCGTCAGGAGTATTGGCTTTTTCATAGCAGGTGGCAGTGCTATCATAAAAAAAGAAGGTGAAAAAAAATTAGGGTACATTTACTGAATATAGCAAAATACATGAGTGCTTACTGCCTAAGGTGAAAATAAGAAAACCAGTTGAGATCGGAGAGCTGAAATTTCAGAAAAATGGGCCTTTCAAATCAATAAAGTTGCTAAGTGCGATATGAAATCCAAAATAAAGTTCACGTGTGCCAAAATGAACAGCTTCTGAAAATTCTTATGGCTATTTATGGGGAAAACTGCGCAGTGTGACAAATCGCAAAATGGGACATAGTATACTGAAAATTTCAGATAAAATTTCAACGATTTGTGAGATTATTTAGAAGAAATCTAGAACAACAGTTTCTTTATAGGGCACACGTGTCGTCTTATGACTTCTCCGTGCTTATCTCTCTGAAGAAACACATATGTGGAATTAGTTTCAGATTGAATGATCCCTCAAGGCAAAGATTCATAACTGGTTATAAATGCAAAACATGGACTTTTCTAAGGTATGAATACATACTAGCATGATTTTTCATCAAAATCAGTGGTTTGGAAACAAATCTTTTCATATGGATGATTGTTATGTATTGTGTCATACTGACGATATATTTATATGAAACAAGCAAAACACGTTCTTCTGAATCCCATATCTCTCCGTCAGAAAAGTTCCTTGAATCCATCAATTCTAGGTGTTTGTTTTTAAACTGGCACTATTCAGAGCCACCTGTAGCTCGATCTATCAATTGGAACGTCACTAAATTTGGTAGGAGGCTAATAATGACATAGGCAGAAAGATTCCGTGAAAAAAAAATTAGTTGCTTTAGGGTAAAACGTGGTGCTATTCTAGTCTGCACAAGTGAAAATTTGCATTAGACGCAGATCTTCTTGGAAAATGAAACTGTTCGTTTACGTAAACGATGGCCGCGTTAGTAATTCAGTTTATAAAGATAAGGAAAAACGCCGAAGGACTTTTTGAATGTTAGCTGGGTTCAACATGCGTCTCACTTTACCTCAGAATGCGTTTTTTGTGAAGTTTTTTAATCTTCATTAATCGAACGCAAATGCAGCTCTTCATGAGTTTAGAAGTCGTAACATGCGTAAATTCCCTCTATCAAATAACGTATTGAAAAACATGATTCAGAAGTTTGAAGAAACAGGATCCTTAGGAGTTTGGTTTGGTAGAGAGGGCTGAAAACGGTGTCAGAACAGACAGTTACTGATGTCGCGACTGAAATCCTTGACTGCACCCACGGGACCATTGTTAGTAGCAGCAGTGCCCAGGGAATAGCGCGACGTTTGATTTTGAATCTCTCAACCGTATGGTAACTCTTTCAAAACGTTCTTCACTTCTAACCGTACAAGATTATCCAAAGACTTTTAGGTGCATCAGACACTTGTATCAGGCTCTTAGGCGATAGCCGCATCACCGGAGTGGAACAAATAGCAATTATATAGCATTTGGTAGCATAAAAGGACGTTAATTCGAAGCAAGAACCGGCAAAAAATGGTTATTCTGATGTGAAGCTGGAGTGAATCTTGGATATATATTAATTCTGCGAAAGCCAAGTAGATTGAGAAGCAATAAGATGGCTACTGTTCAGCTTACGATGATGTTGTAATGGTAAAAGTTCATAATGAATGTACGTCCAATTGGAGTCTGGGCGAGGACGCGGGACATCTGGTCAAATCGGTGGAGAGTCAATAGCGTAACTGTAAAGAGATTGCAATTCCAAACTAATCAGGAACTGAACTGCGTTCAGTTCCTGAGAGGAACTGCGTTCACCAAAACTCACCGTTTGGTGTGGCTTCACAGCAGATTTCATCAGATGACCATTCTTTTTTTAAAGCATTGCTGTAACAGTACCACACACGTGTGCTGTTATCATGCAAAAGTATCGTGATATGGTGACTAGTTTTGTCATTCCTAACTTCAGCAGAGACAGTTCTGGTACATCATATTGTGTTGGTTCACTATAAATGTCATATTTACTTTTCAGATTGTTGCCACCAAATGTTATTGCCCTGTATTATATTTAAAGAAATTAAATAATGAAGAATTTACATAAACGTATGTATGTTTCTCGCATTGTGATAAAACAACGGTACCTAGAGACATCCAATTTTGAGTAACGTTCGTTTCCACCCGAATATGAGCATCTGGAAGCCCAGATTTGGAATTTATTTTATTATCTATTTCATATTTTGTAAACTTTAACGAATTTTTGATTAACAAACTCAACGATTTAAAAGCGAGCACTGGCAACACTCTTATGGAAACAAAAAAACTTTTTTATCTCCAGCGCTGAAAACTCGATAAATTACCATGGCATTAGATTTCTTAATTTTTAAAGTTACTTTCGTTAAAAGATTCTGAGAGTTTACCTAAAGCTGCGAACTGCAGTCAAATGTTGGAACCAAAATTAAAATGGTAAAGAAAAAAAGCGATGTGATATTATTATTAATTGTAAAATTAATGTTTGCATTCTTCCAGTTAATAAATTAGTAGAAAAATTAATATTGATAGCTTTCTTTGGTATTTTAAAAAGAAATTCCATATTTAAAGCTGTTGACTTTACAGGCATCCATTAAAAAGCTGTTTTATACTAAGTTTTCAACAGTTATCTTTAGTTAAAGCTACTTTCCTAAAATCAGCTTACAAATTCCTACCAGAATGCGTTTTTAGAATGGAATTTAATGCAAATCAGTAAGAGTTGTGCTGAAGTCGAAGTTCCACTGACTTCGTTAGAGAGCCTCAGAATTTCTGACTAACACGCGTTCGCCTTGTGGTTATGTCTCTCTCTAAGCTATTTCTACGCTCGGCTACTTAGGTGAATGAGACACTTGTATCAGGCTCTTCGGCGATAGCCGCATAACCTGAGTGGATAGCCGCATCACCTGAGTGGATAGCCTCATCACCTGAGTGGATAGTGGCCCTTAATAGATTCGCCAGTTTACTCGATATTTAGGGACCAAATACTTAGAATTTTGATAGCTTTGGTTATATCTTTTTAGTTAAGTTTTATTCCTTATTACTTTTAGTTCAAGCCCAAGTGGAGTTTTGCTGTACGTCCTGAGAAAGGGACCGACTGTACACTCTTATTTTTAATAATAAAGTATAATTAACCCCCTTTCTTGAGTTTACGTCTTTGTTCATGAACTAAAGCGATCATTCGCTTAGCTGTTCACGAGGTTCCTACACATTTAATTGTTAGATAAAAGAGTGGAACCCCCAAAGCAATCGGAATTATGTTAAAATTGACAAAGAAAAGGCTGTATTATTTATCCTTGAAAGAAAGGCCGCCATTTCAAAAAAAAAAAAAAATTACTCTAGTCAACTTCGGATGAAAATTACCAGAGAATGAGTTTTACGTCAAAAGATATTGTTTCATTCGCTTCCATTAACCACTTGACCATTTCCCCATATGCAGACTCATCGATTTGAAAAGTGTCATGAAGCATCAGCAGCGAAATACACTGGTCGGTGTTATATATGGCCTGGATAGTTGCGAAAAGAACACAAAAGAACTTTTTCTCCAGTGTATGTTGACGATATTCAACATCCTTGAGTGTGGCAAGTAACCGGATTTCTATTAGGTCTTGATAGCTGGTAAAAGGTGAAAAAACATGTCGAAAGCTAGTTTCTGAGGTAAAATGTTTATCTTTGGAGGGGAAAGAAGATCAAATATTTGAGTTTTGCTGGACGGAGAAGAGGTTAATATTATTTTTAGATCTTGCTTGTTGTAATCGTTGCTTCACGTATTATTTCACCTATATCTACCCGTAACTACCGTATAGACTTCACAACGGGCGACTATGATGGGTGATGCAGTTGCTGAGGATCTCATACAGTTACCATTATTCGCCAAATGAACAA